TTTTTCTGCCACAACAATGCACCTGCTCATGCAACCATCTCAGTGTGCCAGCTTTTGGAAAAATACAGCATCCCTCTATTGTCTTATGCATCTGACTCACCTGAACTCACTCCATGAGACTTCTTTTTATTTCTGTGAATGAAGAGGGTTATGAAAGAGCAGCAATTTGATGACATAAAAGAGGTGAAAGAAAAAATGAGGGAGGTGCTATCAGCCACCCAAACAGATAAGTTTGCAAAATGTTTCCCAGAATGGAATCATGGATTTGACAAATGTATTAAGTGTCATGGAAAATACTTTGAAGATGAAATTGTTTTTTGTAAAAAAAAAAAAAATTAAATACATCGTTTTGAAAAAAATCTGATTTTGGGGGGAGCACCCCTCATATATAAATGTTAGCTTTGGAATCAGTTCAGACTATGGATGAATTATTGAAAACAGCTAATTCTTTCCATTAGCATATACGGCATTATTTTTGGTATAAGTCAGCTACTTGAAGCCATCAGCCTGGGAGAAAAAAAAAATGAAGCTTTTTATTTTCATGAAAACTTACAGTGTCCATACCAGCATGAAGCAGCAAACCAATAGAGAGGTCTGCAGAGCCCGCCCCAATCCCAGCTATGTGGGCCCCCTCTCTAAAAGAATGAGCTACATAGAACAACACAGAAGCTACAGCATGGGGATAGGGATGAATCTGCTCAGAACACAGGGGAGCAAACTAAGAGAGAAGGAGGGAGAAAGAGTGGAATGCAACCTGGCATGTGTAGTCCCAAGGATGATATTCCTGCTCAGAGCAGCCAATGCAGAGAGGATCATAGGGCCAGTCCCACCATGAGACATGGCATCCACTCACTGACATATAACGTTATGGGGGACAAGGTTGGATACACATTGTGGGAATTGTGCCCAATTTGACCCCAATCTGCAAAACACGAAGGGCATTTAACAGGACAGCAAGGGAAGCAAAGCAATGAAGTCCCCAAGGAATCCCAATTATAGACTTTGGGGGCAGGGCATGATGCCTCATCAGACTTGACTAGAAAACACGCAAAAAGGTCAACAGACTGACCTGGAACTACTTATAGGCTTTTCGTTGTTGTTGTTTGCTTTGGTTTTCTTTTTGGTTTATCATGTCTATCTAGGTAAAATAGGCAGAATAAACAATCCTGAGGAGAAAACAATGGGACCAAAGAGGGGGAGGTGGGGGAAAGGAAGTGGGGGAGCCAACAAACCAAGGCATAAGGGAACAACAAATTATTCAAAATCTATGGTGAGAGAGGACATCTGCGGGTTTGGGACTTGATCAAGTGCAATGTAGCTGAGAGGAATTACTGGGAGCCGATTGAAGGTCGAACGTGATAGTGGGACTAGAGGAAAGTAAAAGGAAAGAGAGGAAAGCACAGTGAAGTAAAGGCTATTTATAGA